ATAAAGCTATGCTCAACATATACTTGCACTGGAAGATAAAGCTATGCTCAACATATACTTGCACTGGAAGATAAAGCTATGCTCAACACACTCGTGGAAAATCGCATGGTTAAACAAAAAATTAGCAATAAATAGTTTGTAATTAGACTTCATTAAAACAGTGAAGTCGACCTTTTTAAAACTGATAACATTATATTATGAAGAGAAATAAAATAGAAGAGAAAAACGGGCATTTTACAGTGATGTTTTCCTCTATTTTGACAGCTACCCAACATCTGATTGATATACATGTATGTGCACAAGCTTAGAATGATCGCCTAAAATTTCTACCTAATTACAACAAGCATACCTGTTATATTAGCATGTCCGTTTATATAACCATTCAGTTTAGAGGTATCATCATACACCTCCCCTGTGATTGGATTACGTCGAACAGGGCCTAAAATATGCAGAAACATGCAATTTTCTCATATTATTTACACATGCAAATTCAAATCACAGCCAATAAAGGAGGTCAAAGCAAAACAAAATTCATCTTTAGTTTTATGTACAAGTAATTGTAAGCAACTTTTTCAGCTGTCTAATTAAATACACATGCTAAGAAAAGTATATAAAACTTAAACGACAGCCTAATCACAATTTTACGAACGAATTAAGCAAACACTATAATTTCTATAAATTAACAAAATACATTTACATAGAAAATAACAGAATCAATGTTATATTACTGAATATACATTTGCTGCATAAAAATACAGAATAAATCAAAACAAAATTATTGAAAATAATTTTGAAGTGTTATAAGGAGTAATAAAACATTCAATATTCGCCTAATTCCAAAAGATATGCGTAAAATACGACCCATCAAAACAGCCAATCTAAGATAAAAATTAAGCAAATAAAATAAATAATAACTGCGCAAATAGACTTTACTAAATGTTCCTTTTAATATGAATTATTAATAGGGCAGATGGCCTTGCAATACCTCTAATCAAGTGTGACAGTCTAAAGCAGGATGAGTGTTTATTTCAAACTGTCAGAAACTTATGCAAGATAGGCTATGGTTTGTATTATCTGGTGTTCCTACCCAGAAAGAAATGGAACGTCAGTAAATCATTGTGTTGGATCTAGGAACTATTCATATAATGTGTTAGAAAATCCCTTACAAAATCTGTTTTATCAAGTCTTCAAGTATTCTATTAATACATAAACCAGTTAGAGCTCAATACGTGTTCAAGGAACACACTTATTACACTAGTGTTCTAAAAAAAGCAATGAAACATGAAATATTTAACAACGACACGATGACTTAACACAAACAGAGGTATGTTTCATTTTATATTATCACCTACTATATTTATTTGCACTACAAGACTTGGTGACCGGTTGGGGCCCATCAAATACATTAGACTTCATTCTATCCACAACTTTTCTAGGCGTGGTGATGCCCGTTAGATCATTTCCAAACACATTGCTCTGTGTATGCCAAGATGCTCTACGTTGGATTGCCTGGTTGTTACTAGAATCGTCTTTGGCGCCATAAAAGCTGGAATACATGAAGTGGTTCTTCCTTTTCTGGGGCTTTTGTTCATCTTGATCATTTATATTACCAAATATATCACTACTTGGTCCCCCTGGAGAGTTAGTGATCCTTGGAACGAAATATCCAAATATTAGTTATAATAAATAATAATATAACTGTAGGGAAAAGCAATGTACAAATCTATCAGATAACTTAAAGGAAAGTTGATTGGCTTCAAAGCATTTCGCTTTTTTTTTAGATAGTAAAAATTTGTTTCAAAAACAGAAGTTTTACAGTTAGGTAATTACGCAACTAAATCATAACATATCAAGTCAGTAATTTAAATGAAATACATTTCCTCATCCTTAATTTTCTACAACTTTGATATTATGTTAATTCAAAACATTTACTGAGAAATGGAGTTGCTCCAAAATCAACACGTCGTTAGAATTGAATACACTAAAAATTCACTTCACCTGTTAATGAATTATAATTTTGATGAATCAATCCTGAATATATTATCCTAGCGTTCAGCATTTGTATGAACTTGATTTAGTCCGTCCTCCTATTTTAACTATTTGTGAGTAAAAAACTCAATTTTTGTAACGCTTTCAAATATGATAAAAATATAAAAATGGACCTCATAACACCTAAATTTGTGAAAACTAAGCTAATACCAAAAACCTAGTATATCGCGTCTTGTTCTCAAGTATGTTATTGCTGCTTGAACCGAAGAAAAATTTTTTACCCATATAGTGCTAATAACAGCAACATAAAAATCAAACAGAAAGAGCGCACATTTTCCATTGCCATCAACTGAACTTTTCTCACTTCCGGAACGGGTAGTTAAACGAATTTCATTGTAGCTCTCGTACAGTTATAACCTTTGATGAACTAGCAAGGAAACAAAACTAATATAGAGGCGTTTTTGTAGCGCATAGCTCTGGTGGGTCAATGATGAGTTTCTGGTGAACAGATCGAAGATAGTCCATTGTGTAGACCAAAGTTAAGACGAAAATAATATGTGTAATAGAGAGAGAGGACAACCGCTGTAAATATTACATAAATATAGCTTGTAAGAGAAAGCCTCCGTTAAATAATCATGTACAAGAACTATCATTCAGAGTTTGTTTCTTTTTGTTTCAAGATTATCCATAATTGTTCCTGAAATATTTGATAAAATTGTCGATTTGTTACATAGCCGTATTATTTCACTTCTTAGTATTGCTTGTTTGTTTGTTTCTACTAACCCTGGCGTGCCCGGCATGGCCAGGTGGATAAGGCGCTCGACTCGCAATCTAAGGGTCGCGAGTTCGAATCCCCGTCCCACCAAACATGCTCGCCCTTTCAGCTGTGGAGTCATTAGAATGTGATGGTCAATCCCACTATTCATTGTTAAAAGAGTAGCCCAAGAGTTGGCGGTGGGTGGTGATGACTAGCTGCCTTCCCTCTAGTCTTACACTGCTAAATTAGGGATATTAGGGACAAACTAACCCTGGCCTACTAGTTTTACTTTCATACTATAGTATACAGATTTTATCCTAACACTTTTTTCAAGTGTTTTAAAATTCTGTCTTAATTTTTGTTTCATATAACAGATCTTCTTAGCAATTCTAATCTATTTTATGAAAGACATGTTACAACATTGAAAGTTATGCTTTAGCATCATAGAACTTTCATCACAAAATTTCGAAACAATATTTATATGCAATTGAAAAATGAATCGATTCGCCATTTACTTGCACATGTAATTATTTCCTTTTTCTACGAATGTGACATGTCTGTTTACGCTCGATAATTTGTATGTATACAAAAAATAATATGTCATGCTTAACTTCTTCAAAAATGTTTTACAAAAATACAGTTCATACATCCTCTAAACCTAAAATTTATTGTGCTATTTCATAAACTCTACAGAGAGTGTGGAAAACCTTTTTATGTCTTTACCACAATTATACGTTCCAGTACTATCAGAGTTTTGTTCAACTGAAACTACAAAATATATGTTTACAAGATCAGTCATTTGAAAGCAGCCTTTTATTTCAGAAAAACATATTTGAAAAATGATTACAAGACAAACGTAACGTTTTTGAGTAATCATGTTTTTATTGCACACAGCATGGGTGCATGTCCTACTCTTAGCATTTTCCAGTCTCCTACTTTTACCTTAAGGCTTTGCAATTGTTTAGGATTCCGAGAAATGAGAAATAGTAAACTCTCGGGTTTCTGGGAGGAGAGAAGGAACTGGAAAATGTTTAGTGATTTGATCTCTATGCTTTATAGTTTAATATCATATTAAAACTATTTTGCAAGACTGAAATTTGATGCTTTAATAACATGAAACTTTGGCCAATTTTGTATTACTTACATTTTCATTAGCAAATCATTCATTTTTTAAAACAAGAGATAACTGCTTATCAACTAGTGTGATTTATATAGCTCGATTAGTAAACATAGTTAAACCCAAGTTCACCTTTACCGTCGTCTCAAAAAAATGTATGTGTATGTACTATTGGTTGTTAAAGGATCCGTTACGAATGAAAGAGTTTCGAGCAATCTTAAACGCAAGGTTGAAAGCCATAAACATAGAGTGTTTAAAAATTATAAGGTTTGGTTTGTTTGGAATTTCACGCAAAGCTACACAAGGGCTACCTGCACCAGTTCTCCCTAATTTAGCAGTGATAAACTAGAGGGAAGGCAGCCAGTCAGCATCGCCTACCACCAACTCTTGGGCTACTCGTTTACCAATGAATAGTGGAATTAACCGTCACATTATAATGCCCCCACAGCTGAAAGGGCAAGCATGTTCGGTGTGACGGAGATTCGAACATGCGACCCGTAGATTGCGAGTCGAGCGCTCTCACCACCAGATTATGCCAGGCCAAAAATTATGAGGACAAACGTACATAACGTGAGAAAGACGCTCATCCTGTTTCGGTGACATATGTGAAAACATTGCCAAAAATCACTCTCTTTTTAAACAGGTGAAACAAACACAGCTCAACTAAACATTCAACTTCGCAACGAAGGCGTGTAGCAAGTTAGTACTATGCAATATAATCACAAAAAAAAATCAACTGTTTGTCCTGAATGTCAAAAGGGAGAAAAATTATTCCAAATAAACACATAACCATGAGTAACACTAAACGAGGTTTTCTACAAGCACGTGCATGACTATTAAACAAACTGATGTCGTTGCCATTTACAATTTCTAGAAGTGACACACATTTCTTGGAAATACATCTGACTACCCGCCGTTGAAATACTACTTCTACGTATCGATAATTTCACCTGTTTAGGTTTTTAAACAGTGTGATATTAATGCTGTTGTAGATGGCGTCCGAGTGTTTCCTCTGTAATTAAAACCAAGCTTCCCTGGATTTCATTACCTGGGAAATTATATGAAAATGAGAATAAAAGAAACTTGGGGTTTGATAAAAGAAAATGAATCACTTCTATCTGTCTTGTATACTAAATACAAATACTCATCAATGTTGGGGCAATGAAAATTAACTATTCCTATTTCTTCACCCATTGTTGTTCTGTATAAGTTTCAGACAAGAAAATGTCAAAGGCTCCCATCCGAAAGAAATGCTATTTCACAACTAGGAATTGATTAAAACTAAATTCGCCAATGTCTATAATACACCGTAATTACTATTTCTAACTCATAACGAAAACTATTAACAACATTGACTGCTAAGAAGGAACAGTAGCTCTTAAATTCTCCTATTAAATGTTGCCTTTCAACATAACAAGAATATATCAGTAAGGAAAGTAGGAAGTACGTTGTCTTATATTTTGAATTTGCTGTAGCTTTTCCTAAATTAATACTAAAGCCAAACAACTCACTAGACCAGATAAAGAAAAACACAGTTTCTAGAGTGTCACAGAAGTAGCTGAAACTTTAATACTTACACTTCACTATCTGACACCTAATCCTTATAGGTATAGTACTGGAACTAACCTGCTCCTCAAGTCCACATTCCAGCATGCTGAATACCACCAAACTTCGGCGAAACAACTTGGCTGGATTGGGAGTGTAATACCAGATATTGGGAGAAATATTTCACGGTCATATAATTGATAAAATTATGGAAGCAAGGGGCAGTGCTTTGTTTAAAGCGAATAAAAAATATTAGTGTATTTTAAACCTTATTTACTCTTCTCTTGTCTGTTCTCTAATAAAGTATAAATAATGATAAGCCCTCCAGTGGCACAGCGGTATGTCTGCGGAGTTACAACGCTAAAACCGGGTTTCAATACTCGTGGTGGGCAGAGCTTTGTGTTCAATTCCAAACAAACAAATAATAATGATAAATTGGTCATTTAGTTGTAATTACGTATTATTTGTGCGTTTCCATAATCTTGTTTAGAAATCCTTTACGTATATAACTATAACCTTTTATTCTGTACTTTAATGTTTTATTAGAAGCAACCAACTTCTCATTATTAGTATCCAACGACAGCTACATTAATATCCAATAATTCAGACTAAAACTGTGACAACCAGACGTATTGTAAATGATGTATCAGCCATCCTTCTTCTCATACAAAGAAATATAAAATTACATAAACGTAGAAAACGATACAACTTATCTTTCATATTTGTTAAATAAATGTCGTCGTATTCTCGAAAAGACATATGATATATATATATATATAAACTGTACTAAAAATTGAAGTTGCTAAGAAGTAAAACATTTACCCCTATATATATATAAGTATCTCTATAAATAATTCCGTGACTTATAATCGCAATTAACAACCGTAACAGAGTCTAAAAATAATTTATAACTATATATGTGCTGTGTAGTAAAGTTTATATAATGAAACATCAAATGAATTACACACATGACAAAAAAAGGTCTGTGGCTTAGTACTGTCCTAATCAAACTAACTTTGAAATTGTATTCAAGACCCATTAAGTGTTAATTCCACAACGTGAAATCAATGGCTTTACATTAATGATGCTTTAGTTCTACCTGTTGAGACGAGTCACGTGTATACCGTCATCTTGTACAAGAGCCTCGTTTTGAATTTGTCACAACTTAAAACAGAGACGCACGTACAGTATCATTTCGTACAATAGCCTCACTTTGAATTTATCACGAATTAACATAATAATAGAGTGTTCATATATGCAACTAAAATCTTTAATAATTTCACAATAATTATGAAATACATAAGTAAAATGGAAAAAAGTCGAGGGCAGACTGCTAGATACATATACAACAGGAATTCGCAGCTTCTCGAAAGTCGCGGTAGCTCATGCGCCCTCTGCTTTTCTCAGAAGTATGAGATCCTATATAGTAGATAGCGCATGCTTGTTGAAGGCGATTAAAAAAATAGTAGGTAAAACAAAAAATATCGAAACGTGGATAGAACGTACAAAATGTCAAAAAACATTAATGATCATTAGTTTTCTTCGAGGTCGGGTACTGAAATCAGAAGATACTTTAGAAATAGTTTAATTTTGAAAGAGGCTTTTAACGATAAGCAAGGATTATAATTTATAATTGGAAAGTGAAAATCCATATATTAGAATGATGATTTGTATTTGATTAATAACACGAAACAAAAACGATTTATTTGATATTGAAATTTACACAAGAATTGCAAATTTTTTCTTTAGGAAATATACTAAAGTCTGAACACAGAGCTTGAAGAAAGTTACGAAGGTTAACTTTTACTTTCCAACAGACAATTTCTTTAATCCGTTAAAACGTTCGATAAAAGGAAAAAATGAAGGATTCTCAGGTTTTCTGCAATCAAATATACCACTTTATGTACATAGAATTTGATCAAATAAATAGCTTATCAACACATTTAGTAACGTGCCTGTAAATTATACTTCACTGTTATATATTATTAATGTAATAAAGAGAGTTATTCGCCATTACATTCGTCGTTAATTTTCTTAAACATTCACTATCTTCAGATGCTTATTTTTATCCCCTGATTCTGCGTTGTTTCTTTTTCTGGCCGCGTGAAAACCTATAAGGTGTATATGATGGATAAGTAACTAATCTACAAAGAACTATTCAAACTAGCATAAAAAAATGTACAAACATTCAGGTTATTACGTTTGAATGACATTTTCGTTCATACAAACATCAGACATTCGCTGATTTTCTCCAATTTTCTATTTCAAATCTTCAGTAAAGTCCAACTACAAAGGTTTTAGGTCTTTATCATTTCTTTGAGGTTCCAAACACGTATTCGTCAACAACTCCAGTTCATAGACTAACATTTGAATAGGTATAACTATATTGATTAAATATCAAAAGCATACGCTAACTGTGAGGGCGTTGAACTTAAACACACACACATTCGAGAAGCTGCGACAGTATATGATGCTTCAATACAATCAATACCATGAACGACACATGCTTTTACTTATTCGTTCATTTAAAATCTGAACATGCGTGTTATTAACCTTTCTCGAATCCAGTGGAAAACATTCTATCTCGTTACAGTTCCTTACAATGTTCACTTACAGACTAGTTATTTATTCCATGCTTACAAGCATTTAATAATGAGAAACATTTGAAAAAAAACAAGAGAGACAGAACTTCAAAAGGAATAATGCAAAGAAGCTTACCTTTTCTTCCCGTGCCCAACTTTGTCAATTTCCACGTGGTAAAACTCCCGGATGGAAGACATAGCTGGATTTGATGGAAACCTAAATACGATAGAAAGAAAATTACACTTTGTGTTTTTATGATATAATTATTTGGATTTTTAAAAGTTTTATTTTGTTGATATGGATGGAAAGGAAGATGTTCATTTTTACACCTTCAACACTAATTTCACACAAATACATATAGAGAGAAGTCAAAGTAGTCAATGCTGTAAAACATATAAAGGAGGAATGCATTTATACACACTCATTGAAAGTTTTACATGTACAAAATTAATTCTGACATTTACAGACAAAAAATACATTTCCTTAAACGAATATGCGTCGATAGTAATATGTCGAAAAAAAGAGGTATATCCTCTATAAGTTCAAGTCGAAACTTAAGTTTCTTTCAAACTTTTACGGTCCTCAAACAATTAAGAATAACGAGCCACATTAAAAGGACTCACGTGAAAGTAGGAGAGTAATTGTTAACAACGCAGTGTAATGTAATATTTAATTACTTAGCTCAGGAAACGCTGAGAGGTTTTGAAACATTTTAAAAGTAGTCAGCGAAATGAAAGTAAAAATACCTTGAAGAGGATTTTGAGCCTCAGTGGTTCACTTTCTTAACTGTGTTATCGGTTTTCGTTACTACCTACTGCAGGAAAACTTCACGGATTGCAGTTGCTTGTACAAAGTATACGCTGTAACGTGTACTGCTTCAGATGATGCTCAGAAACTTTGCTAAATTAACTCTGAGTGTATATTTGACTACTTTTGTACTGACTTGCCTTCATGCCAAGACCTGAACTTTCCTTTAAACAAGCTAGATTACAAACTATATACACGCACACACGGGTATATATATGTGTTCTAGTGGCTTTAGCTTCCACACTATAAGGACAGCCGCATGGCTTCCCAACAAACGAGTCAGCTGACATCCTACCTGCTTCGTTCCTATTGGTTCATGATAAGTACTACAGTCTGGAATCGTTTTTTTTTTTTAGTTCTTCTAAATATTTTGCATGCAGAAAATAAAACCTTAAAAAAACGGGAAAACACAAAAGTAACGTATGCTTAAATTATACCAATCACTATTTCAAAGCACCAGTTACAGCGAGAAAATCGAGGAAAGAAAGCGTAAAATAATTCTAATTTCAGCAGTCAAACTTAAACTGTATGGTTTCACTGGCTTTTTTACTATTCAGCTAACAATTACAGTAATTTGGCGAAAACTCCAAAGTAAAGTGAGATATCTTGACACACTATACATAAAGTCATCAAAACATAATGAGCAAATCACACACAATTGATTATTATATCAGACTGTGGAAGGTACAAGAATCAAGATCTAATTATGCCATCGATCACACTCTGTACTTTCAGCAATGTGTGCGTTATAAAAGTGAAAATCAGTGCCGTTATTCGCTTAAGAGTAGCTTTGTAATCAATGGGTGTTGCTTGCTGGTTGCCCCCCTCTGACCAGTAATTCTAAATTAGAACCGATATGCCTGAGCCTTGGAGCCTCTGAACGGACCGTTCAGACAATGTATTACATAAGATGTCGTTAAGATTGAAAATATCAAGTGTTGATCAACAAGCACGCTCACTTTCAAGTAGTTAGTATAACGCGATCAGCATTACACCATATATAACATGTAGTCAGCAAACACACTTGCTATCGTGTAGTCAGTAAAGCGCGATCCATAAAATATAAACTTTCACGTGTAGTCATCAAAACACACTTGCTTTCATGTAGTCAGTAAAGCCCGATCCATAAAATACAAACTTTCACATGTAGTCATCAAAACACACTTGCTTTCATGTAGTCAGTAAAGCCCGATCCATAAAATACAAACTTTCACATGTAGTCATCAAAACACACTTGCTTTCATGTAGTCAGTAAAGCCCGATCCATAAAATACAAACTTTCACATGTAGTCATCAAAACACACTTGCTTTTCATGTAGTCAGTAAAGCCCGATCCACAAAGTACAAATTTTCACATGTAGTAATCAAAACATGATCCTCAAAACACAAACTACCCCATGTATTAATCAAAACACAATCAGCAAAACACACTTGTTTTCATGTAATCAGAAAAGCCGAATCCGCAAAACACCAAATTTCACATGCAGTCATCAAAGCATGATAGCAAAATACAAACTTTCACATGTAGTGATAAAAACACAATCAGCAAAACACTTGCTCTCATGTAATCAGTAGGACACGATTCCCAAAACACAAACATTCACACGTAGTCATCAAAGCATGATAGCAAAATACAAACTTTCACATGTAGTGATCAAAACACAATCAGCAAAACACTTGCTCTCATGTAATCAGCAG